GGCCGACTTCATGGAGAAAGAGGGACTCTTTATGATGAACTCTTTCCTCCAGAAGCGGCCCCACAGGAAGTGGACCTGGTTGAGCCCCGACGGTTCGACAAAAAATGAGATTAACTTCATTATGACGACCAGACGACAACTGTTCAGTGATGTCTCCGTGATCGCGAGGGTGAAAACTGGTAGCGATCACCGAATGGTTAGAGGCACACTGAACCTAAACGTTAAGTTGGAGAGGTCTCGTCTAATGAAGTCAACGCTTCGTCCCCCTCGTGCTGTAATCCAAAGTCCCGAAACCTTTCAGCTCGAGTTACAAAACCGTTTTCAGTGCCTAGAAGACTGCAATGAAGTGGACGATATGAATGACAAGCTCGTGGAAACTGTCCATGCGGTCGGAGCTAAGTTCGGCAAGACCCGCCGCAGAAGAACACAAAAACTCTCCGATCACACTCTTAATCTCATGGCTGTTAGACGGGAGATGAAGCTACATTCTTCAACAGACTTGACAGCATACAGGCATCTGAACAGACAGATCTCCAAATGCATGCGGCGGGACTTACGCAACTTCAATACAGCTCGTATTGAAGAAGCGATCGAGCGGAACCAAGGCTCCAAAGTCTTTGCCAGAGATCTGTCTGCCAGAAAGAGCCAACTGTCAAAGCTGAAGACAGAATGTGGCAGCATCGTTTCTGGTACACCTGAGATTTTGAGTGAGATTGAGAGGTTCTATGGGCAGTTGTACACGTCATCGTTGGAGCCACACGCAAGTGTGAGTAACGATCCAAGAGCGAGTCTCATCCGACACTATTCCGAAGATATCCCGGACGTCAGGCTGAGCGAGATTAGAATGGCTCTCCAGCACCTTAAAAACGGTAAGGCCCCAGGCGAGGATGGAATTACAGCGGAGCTTCTGAAAGCGGGTGGAAAACCGGTACTTGAAGTTCTTCAGAAGCTCTTTAATTCCGTCCTCCATGGTGGCATTACACCGGAGGCGTGGAGCAGAAGTGCGGTGGTCTTGTTCTTCAAGAAAGGTGACAACGCTCTCTTGAAGAACTACAGACCGATTTCCCTTCTGAGCCGCGTCTACGTGCTGTTTTCGAGAGTCATTACGAATCGTCTTGCGCGCAAACTTGACGACTTCCAGCCTCCCGAACAAGCCGGTTTCCGCAAGGGCTTTAGCACCATAGACCACATACATACCCTTCGGCAAATTGTACAGAAGTCCGAAGAGTACAATTTGCCACTATGTCTGGCGTATGTGGACTATGAGAAAGCCTTTGATTCCGTCGAAATTTGGGCGGTGCTGCAGTCCCTTCAGCGGTGCCAAGTTGACTGTCGGTATATCGAAGTGTTGAAGTGCTTGTACAGTAGGGCTACGATGGCTATCCGAGTACAGAACCAGAATACGAAACCTATCCAATTGCAGAGAGGTGTAAGACAGGGTGACGTCATATCCCCGAAACTCTTCACCGCTGCATTGGAAGACGTTTTCAAGCTTCTGGACTGGAAAGGATACGGTATCAACATCAATGGCGAGTACATCACTCACCTTCGATTGGCCGACGATATAGTCCTTATGGCAGAATAGCTGGAGGTCCTAAGCACTATGCTCAATGACCTCAATAGTGTTTCCCAACGGATAGGTCTTAAGATGAACATGGACAAAACTAAGATCATGTTTAATGTCCATGTCACACCTATGCCGGTAGTTGTTGGGAACACTAAGCTCGAAGTTGTTGACGAGTATGTTTACCTGGGACAAATAGTCCGACTAGGTAAGTCCAACTTCGACCGAGAGGTCAATCGACGGATTCAACTCGGTTGGGCAGCGTTCGGGAAATTACGGCACATCTTCTCGTCAGGTATACCTCAAACCTTGAAAACGAGACTGTACACCCAGTGCGTGTTGCCAGTGATGACATACGGAACTGAGACGTGGTCCTTCACTGCTGGCCGGATGAGGAAGCTCAAGGTCGCTCAGCGAGCTATGGAGAGGGCTATGCTCGGAGTTTCTCTGCGTGATAAACTTAGGAATGAGGATATCCGCAGTAGAACCAGAGTAACCGACATAGCCCAACGGATTAGTAAGCTGAAGTGGCAATGGGCCGGCCATATAGCTCGAAGAACCGACAACCGATGGGGAAGAAAGGTTCTCGAGTGGCAGCCTCGTACCGGTAGGCGAAGTGTAGGGCGTCCCCCCGCGAGATGGAGTGACGACCTGGTAAGACATGCAGGAAGTCGATGGATGCAGGTGGCTCAGGACCGTGCTTTGTGGCATTCTTTGGGGGAGGCCTATGTTCAGCAGTGGACTTGTGAAGGGCTGTAATGATGATGGTGATGATGAAGTCCGTAAAAACAGACTACACTAAGAGGAAATATACGAGGCTGACACTGAAAGTTCTTAGAAAATCAAAAACTGAACAAACTAGCAAGTTGTTAGTTTTATTATATCTTTTCAAAGTAGTGTCCATTTACATCAATACATCGCTGCATGCGATGGAATCACTGAGAAAAGCACTTTGCCCACTCATCCTTAGGGGGTCTCTTTAACGGCATTTTCAACCGTAGAACTGCTTCCTCGCCGTCCATAAAACGTTTTCCTCGAATTTTTTCTTTTATTTTCGTAAAAAATAAATAAAAATCGGAAGGGTGACTCAGTAATTCCACGTCTGACGTCGCCGAGTAATCAATTGTTTGCTTGGCGGTGTGCTACGAAGCGTTGTCGTGGTGAAGGATCCTACTGCGAGGTCGTTTCTTCCGAACTTTTTCCAAGACAAGTGGCAAACAATTGTTAGTGTAACACTCTGCAGTAACTGTTTTTCGATCCTCTAAAATAACTTTTGCGTACGCTTCGACCTCTCTTCACTTTAGTTGGCAACTCCTCCGAAGGAAACGCCCAAACAGTAGATTGTCTCTTAGTTTCAGGATCATAACAATAAATGCAGCTTTCGTCACCCGTAAGTCTGTCGAACACACCATTTCCTCCGTTAAATGATAGAACTATTTCACGACATCAATCAACACGACGGAGTTTTTGGGTCTCTGCCAAATTATAAGGTATCCACCGGGCACAAAGCTTTCTGACCGCCAAATAATGTTCATGGAGGATTTTGTACACTTGACTCATTCCGATGATGATAAGCTTGTCCAAATCTGCTTATAAGTCACTTTTTTGTCAGTCTCTATCATACGCCGCACAACATTATTAAACCAATTGTAAACAGTGGTACGAGATGCGTATTTATCGTGAAAGACCAATCGAAGCCTATCATAACTTTCTTGTTGACCTAAATGACATCGAAAATGATAAAAAATCATTGTACGAAAATTTTCTCGCGTTAAATTCATGCTGACGTGATACAGACAATTTGCAATTTGTAAACAAATGACAAATTAATAAAATACATACACAAGAATATTGGCAGAGTTCCATTTTCAAAATTTGGACTTATATTTTATTATATCGTTTACAAGCGGCCTGTTCTAAAAACTTCCAGTGTCGCCCTCGTAATACGTGGTGCTCGCTTAGACATCTCACAGTAAACTGAACTTAAGTGACTGAACTTTGTTCGTCTTAGTTTATTAAGATTCTCACAGTTACATACAGTATATGTAGTGGGTTTCATTTGAACAATAGAAAAACAAAGGTTAACTTGACTGCTGTAGGCGATTTGCATTATCATTTAATACATAGGCTGCACTAAAAGTATCGGGAATGGAATATTTCCACTGTTCCTGTCATATTAAAATCTTTTTAATTTAAAAGTCCTTGGTTTTAAAAATCGAATACCATTTATTTATTTAAAAAAAGATTCTCGGTCTTGTCACAAGGTTTTGTCAAACTTGTTTAATCGTTGAGAAAATGGAATTGACTCGAGAAAATTCAAGAGCGATGATTTATTTTGACTTTCGAAGTGGTTAAACCACTGGCATAAGTCAAATACAAATAATCTTGCATAAACAATTAGGTGTAAAAAAGTTGTTTTCCCGATGGATACCGCATTCGCTCTGTGAAGAGCAAAAAGCGGCTTGCGTTAGGTACTTGGTGCGTCAGAACTCTCGAAAGATTCCACGCAGGATCCTCAAATGCTGTATACAACATCGTATCAGGTGACGAATCCTGGATATACGCGTACGAACCCGAAACAAAAAACCAGTCTCGAGTTTGGGTGTTCGAAAATGAGTATAAAGTCAACAAAAATTGTTCGTTCACGGAGTGTTTAAAAAAAAATGGTGGCCATGTTTGTCTCCAAAACCGGCCATGTTACGACTATTCCTCTTGAGGGACAAAGAACGGTTAGTGCAGAATGGTATGCTAGCATTTGTTTGACACATTTCGTTTCTGAACTCAAAAGAGTTTTTAGAGCAAGAAAACATAGAATTATTAGACCATCCGCCGTACAGCCCCGACCTAAGCCCTAATGATTTCTATACTTTCCCTAAAATAAAGAATAAATTGCGTGGACAGAGACTTTCATCACCTGAAGAAGCTGTGGACGCCTACAAAACTGCCATTTTGGAGACCCCAACTTCCAAATGGAATAGTTGCTTCAATGATTGGTTCCATCGTATGGAAAAATGTGTCAAATTTCGTAGAGAATACTTCGAAAAGCAATAAATACATTTTTAAATAGTAATGTGTCACTTCCTTGATTCCCGAAATTTTCAGTGCCGCCCTCGTAGGTACCAAAATTACATTATGGAGAGGCAGGCATGAGAAACCTTAGTGGAGAATTGAATAAAAACATAACTTTTTATATACTTCACATGACTAAAAAAAAAAAGAATTACTTTCATATGATGATTAAAAAAATAATTCATAAAGCAAAAGCATGAGTTTTAGGATCATTTATTGGACTTGATTGGGTCCAATTATTAATGGCATAATGAAACAATAATTTGTAATTTGTAAAAAGGTGGAAGATTTTAATTAAAGAAAATAAATATCATTATTCTAATGACTTAATTTTACTTTGTTCATAATAATATGTATTAAATTTAAGCCAATGAAACAAACGCCTGAGAGTGAGAAGCAACAACAACCGCAACAACAGAAAGATAAACCAGCTGAGGTAACTAAGCAGTCTCCAGCACCCACACCGACTCCACCTCAGAATCAACAACAGCAACAGCACAATCGTCCGCAACAGCATAATCAACGCCAGCAGCAACAACAGTCTCAACAACAACCAAACCAACGTCAGCAGCAGCAGCAGGCGCAACAACAAAAACCTTCACACAATATATCCAAGCCTGAATCACAGGACAATGTTGATAAGTCCATCAGTAATGAACAGAAGAATCAGGCTCCCAATGTAAATCAGAATCAATTCCAGAAGGTTTGTTCAATAGATTTTTAATTATTACAAATTGCCTTGTAGTTTATTTAACATAAATTTAGTATTGGATCATGTAGTTTTATAAAGTCTAAATATGACTGTAACTGATGGGCAAAAGTTTCACCTCTCATTTCCACATCATACTGAGAGGATCTTCAGCTTCAGATCAGCTTCAGTACATATTGACTGATTTATTATGTCCTAAAAATATTTCTCTCGTATGTATGTGCGTGGTAGTCATACTACAGCTATATTAATAGAATAGTTGTAGCCCGAATGGGTCGGCTTGACCGGGGAAGGACCACGCTCTCACAGAATACCAGCGTAAAATAGCAGTTTGACACTGCTGTGTTTCGTATGGTGAATGTAGAGAGCCGGAGACGCTTTTTACTGGAAAAGAGGCATTCCTTATTCCTAGTCCTCACGGGTGACAACACATCTGCATTTTGATTCGCAAAAGAGGATAAATGTAGATGTCTATGGGCCACAGCAACCACTTACCATCAGGTGGACTGTGTGCTCGGTTGTCACTCGATCCTATAAAAAAAATATAGATTTCCTAGCCATGTTTTTTATCCCAGCGCAGGTAAATCATATAAATTCAAATAACAAATTCAGTAGTAGTGCAGATCAAATTTTGTTTGCATAGTATGAAATTTACAGAGAGCTTTAAGCTCCTTTGATAATCACTTCAGAAATAATTAAAAGTATGTTTTTGTATAATTTTTAGAATGTTAATGGAAACTTTGGTGGTGGAAATAAACATGGTGGAAGTTGGGGACAAGGGGGTCCGGGTGGTCCAGGAGGTCCAAGTGGTCCAGGTGGTCCTGGAGGACCAGGTGGTCCGGGTGGACCAGGTGGTCCGGGTGGACCAGGTGGACCAGGCAATAAGCAAAATCAGAACATGAACCAAAAACCATTTGGACAAAAACTTGGTGGAGGATCTGGGCCGCCACGTAACCAACAACGCAATAGCATGCGTGGACAACAGCAGGATGGAAAACCAGTGCAGCGTGAGGTACAGTTTAAATAAGTCTTATGATAAATTTTATCAAGCTCTTGGTTAGCTGGCATGTAAAAGTGATTGTTTTTTTAATAACTATATTTATATTAACTATTTTACCTTACAGGAACAAATGTTGGCAAACAAGTTAAAGGACCTTGTAGGACCTCTGGTTGACTTACCCCCAATTGATCAAACTGAGGTCAAGTTTAACGGCAGAAGCAGGCTGTATATTGGAAATCTTACATCTGATGTTACAGAAGAAGAAATAATGAATCTGTTTGGTCAGTATGGTGAAGCTGCGGAATTGTTTATCAATAAAGAAAAAAATTTCGGTTTTATAAAAATGGTAAGTGCAAATATCAAATAATATATAATAATAATAATGCTCTATTATTTAATTTAAAAGATTTCATGGTACATATTTTGCTGGACTTTTACAGGATTACAGAGTTAATGCAGAAAAGGCAAAGAGGGAACTTGATGGTAAAATGAGGAATGGTAGAGCCCTAAGAGTAAGATTCGCACCACATAATAGCGCTGTTCGTGTCAAAAACCTTCCGCCATTTGTGTCAAATGAGCTTCTATATAAAGCCTTTGAAATATTTGGAAAGATAGAACGAGCATATGTAAGGGTTGATGAAAGAGGGAAAACTTTGGGTGAAGGTGTAGTTGAGTTTGCTCGCAAGCCCAGTGCTCTAGCTGCTATCCGCAATTGCACAGAAAAATGCTTTTTCTTAACTTCGTAAGTTTTTGAGTTTAGTTTAATTTTTTTTTGATGTGACAAAAATAGAATCATTACTGAAGAATTCCCCTCTCCCACAGTTCACTTCGCCCAGTAATTGTTGAAAACTTTGAGGAACCAGATGAGTTTGATGGTTATCCTGAAAAGAACTTGCCTAAGAAACATCCAGAATATATGCGAGCCCGTGAGGTAAAAGTTATTGTTTGTATTTTGAAATACCAACATACTACGTTTTTGCCTATTGCTAAACAATTTTTTTTTTCAGATTGGACCACGGTTTTCAGAGTCTGGTAGTTTTGAACATGAATATGGAACAAGGTGGAAGCAATTGCATGAGCTCCATCGTCAGAAAGAGGAAGCATTAAAAAAAGAGTTGGCAGCTGAAGAAGAAAAACTTGAGGCTCAAATGGAGTATGCAAAGTAAGTATGATGAGTACACACACACACACACACAAACACTCACGCCTGTCACCCGAAGGGGTAGGCAGAGACTACGGACTTCCATTTGGCGCGATCCCGACACACCTCTCTCGCCTCCTTTACATCCATATATCTACGCATACACAATCGTCGGTTAAGGGTACTCTTAATCTGGCCCATTTTCAATGTATCGCCGAGTTAGTCGATAAACATTCTTCTAGGGCCCCTTCCGCCGGCCGCTCCTCAACCCGACCTTGTCGTTAACTTCTGCTACATAAATTTGCTTTGTCACTCTGTCTTAATTCATTCTTTCTACATGACCAAACCACCGAAGCATTCCTTTCTTAATCTTGGTCACAATGTCATCTTGCAAACCACGCTTTTCTTTTATCACATTATTTCTCAACCTGTCATTCCGATTCAGCCCTAGCATACTACATGTGATGAGTAATATATTATTATTGTTTTTTTTTATAAATTTTCACACTTCACGATTTGCTAAATGCTATGTCAACATCCATTAAAGTGTAACATTATATTTCTAATTGTGTATTCAAAACTAATAAGTAAACTCAAAAAATATCTGATAGTGAAGTAGACTAAAGCTACTAAAGCCCTAGTATAAAATAAAATATTTGTTATATAACTCCATTATAAGTTTAGTCATCCTATTGTTGTTATTGAGTTTTGTCACAATCATTCTATCAATGACTGGCTACCACAACTTTTATTATTCAAAATATGCACAGCTGGAACAATATCTGGAAGTCACATAGTGTTTCCATATTATGTAGATCGAACTGATGATTTGCAGCGTCCTAGGCAAATACTTAACCTACTATGTTTTATTTCTCATCAATAAGTTTTGTGTTGACCTTGCACATTTTTCTGTCTGTTTGGTACTACCCTCTTACATATCTGTAAAACGGTGTAGCCCTTTTTTATTTAAAATAAGAAGTACACCCTCTGCTAAGAAAAGTTTGAAGAAAAAGAGAGCCAATAATGTTAAAGACTATGTAGTCTTCTTTTTTTAAAGTTGAGGACTGTTGGAGACACCATTAGCTGGACTGGTACATTAGTTAATTTCGCTTACATTTGTATATTGTCTAAAACTTCATGTCATGCATATTGATTTTCGTATATTGCATGTAGACAGGCATTGATATTTGGGCCATCCAAGTTCCTAGAATTATTAAAAACCTCTTTATTAGTACTTGTTTGTGTACCCTTGAGAAACAGATGTTTGTTAGAATACTTGTTTGTATACCTATAAAATTGTTTCTGGAGTTATTATACAAGTAGATCATAGATTGTTTGCATACTGATAGTTTTGAACTGATAGTTCTTGCTGTGTTCATTGTTGCTAGGTTATGTCGAAAGACTTCTTTAAACATAACCTAATTAGGAAGGGAAGTGTCAAATGATTTACTTAAAATGTAAGGCTGCTCTGTTTAGTGGCATGCAGTGGCAGTGTAAGGAAATGCACCGCTCTATATCATTCTGTGGGTGTTGTTAGAGGCGACACAGGGAAATACACAAGAAATAGGCAGCATCTTTTTCCTGATAACATTAATATAAATAGAGAAACTGCAGTTGCCAACCACGCAGAGGTTTGTTCTTTAGCGTGGATACTAATAGATCCCTTTTCCATAGCCTCTCCATAGTTTATAGAAGAATTGTTGTAAGGCTAATGGTATCTGTGTTCAGTAGTAATCAATCTCACCTGTCTAAGGCCGTATATAGAAAGAAAGCTGGCAGCCTATCAGCGCTTATAGGGACCGGTTCACGCTGGTAACCGGCGCAGGCATTTATATGAACAGGCGCCGAACGTCGCCGACATGTTTCGACAATCTTCGACACGCGCCGGTCAGCGCTGGCGCTGTCCGCCATTTAAAATTAATGAACAACTATATACGACAACACGTAAAACTACGACACGCATATATTTTTGTTATATAGAGAAATGAATAGTGACGTGTTGATTGTACGGAAGACGGCATATCAAAGGTAACACTTAAATACTTTATAAAATCGCTATTATCTATATCTATACAAATAAATAAAATTGAAGTGTCTGTTTGTAATATCAAAATTAAATCGTTTTACTAAATGCATATGAAAGTATAAACAGTACTTATAACAAAAATACACTTTAAAATTTTTGTCTGTCTGTCTGTCTGTTTGCTCCGGCTAAACTCCGAAACGGATGGACCAATTTTGACGGGACTTTCACTGGCAGATAGCTGATGTCATAAGAAGTAACTTAGGCTACTTTTATTTTAGAAAATATTTAGGGTTCCTTGCTAAAAAATTAAAAACCTAAATTACACGCGGGAAAGTCGCGGGGAACAGCTAGTTACAAAATAATAATGTCGGTACAAATCTCAAAATGTTATGCTTGATCTGCTGTTGACTGTACAAGTGTAAATTTAAACCACGTTTAAACATTTTAAATTATTATTTATTACAGAGCTTTACAGTTCTAAGGCGAATATTTGTAAAAATAGACTAATGGTCAAATGAACATTTTTTCTTAAACATTTTTTATTATGTTTTTATAAATCTAATAACTTTACCTCTATCTCTACCGAATGGTGACAAAAAGTCTTTCTTGTGGAAGGATTGGTTGTTTATGCCAATTACAAATTAATTTTTAACAAATGTTATTTCACTAAGTCCAAAATGTAATAAATTGTTTCTTGAGATATTCTTGTATATCTATAGCGGACAGATGGGGTTCACCAATGTTAGGCCGTTGGATAAATCTGCATACTGTAAATTAGACACGTCACGACCTAGAGTAGTATTTTAATTATAATTTTATTTAATGTTTATATTTAATTATTTTAATTATCTTTAATGTTATAGGTATTTAGATTATAATTTTTTAATTTATATTAATTTCATATACAATATTAAAAACTATAATAATAATAAAAAAAAGTAAAACTAGAAACTTAATTATCATATAGTCCTACACCCCACGGTATCGGGCCAAGAACGCTGGCTGCGTTTACACGCTGAGTGGCTATATTTAGTCTTTGAGCGAGGAAAGAACCAGCCCTCTTATCACCAGCAGCAACGACCAGCCCAGCATGTGGACCCCACGGACCTCGATAGTCTCTACAGCAAATGGCACAAATATGTAGTCATCTCTCTCAGATACTCATATTTGCGCCACTTAATTCAGCTGCCTCTGATGCCGCCCCAGCTCTAAGTACCGAGGTACCCCTGAGATGAGAGGCCGCCAGAGTATTTAACCAATATGGATAATTGGACTGATTATTATTATTATAATTATAGAATTTTATGATAATCAAATTTCAATTGTTTTACAAATAAATGATGGTATTCTTCGAAACGATTCCTTTCTATATTAAGAGGCGTATTATAAAAAACGCGAAATTACAAGGTTTCCTCTTTGAAATTGTATGTTTATCGTTCGTTGCTTGAAATAACAATTACTTAGTAAAAATAGTTCGTTTTCTCTCCTCAAATAAGCTCAGAGCGGATTTTAGATAACTTATTTATTTAATCAGTAATAATCATTCTCCCGACGCATATTTAGGCAAAAACTCTCGAAGACATGATTTGGGGGCTCTAATTTGTAGATTCTATTGAATATCGACCATCAAAAAAATATTTTTATCTCCCAAATATCCTACACTTTAATAATAATGGAATACATTTTCGTTATATGCTTTTCACGCTAGGAAAAAAAAAATCGACATAATTTAAAAAAACGACCAAAAAAGCTTCGATACAAGCCTCTATATTTCTCTAAAATTTATACCAAAATAATCATCAACATTTGCTTAAACTATACTATTATTTTTTAAATCGTTACTATTATATTTTAATTAATTAAATAAAAGTACTATATATTTCAATGCGCCGGCCATCTGCGATCATTAACGCGCGAGCGCTTGCTTGAGGGTGGACCAGCGTCAGTTGATATCGGGCGCTGCATCGTTTCGATACTACCCGTAGTGTGCGTCGATTGCCTGCATGCTAGAGCATCGTCAACTACGACCGCAATTTTTGATCGATCGGTTTAAAACTATTTTATATAGTAATAATTTAGATCACGTCTCTTCCATTAAACATGGTAGTGACAACGAGTCTGTAGCATTAGCACAATTGAGCACACAAGAAAATATTTTTATAGAAAAATTTGGTCTATTCATTGACCTAGATCATTGTTATTTGAGGGCTTCACCTAATGGTTTATACAGCGACGGTCTTATTGAAGTTAAATGTCCTATTTCAGCTTTCGAAATAGATTTTGACACGGCCTTTCGACAAAAAAAAGTTAAAGGTTATAAATTCAGTGATTCAAGTGTAACATTAAATCAAAATAATGACTGGTTTTACCAAATCCAAGGCCTGCTTCATTTAGCAAATAAAAATGTCTGAATACTTGCCATAATATGTATTGGCCCAGATTATGCAGTAAAAGTACTAAAAATTTACAAAGACGACCAATTTTAGATTTTCAATATGTTACCCAAGTTATAAGCTTCTTATGAATAGTGTATCCTGTCTGAAATTATCGACTCGAGAAAAGTTCGGTCAAATGCCGTCGCAGCAAATATTATTCTAATAAAAAATATGGTAATTGACTGTAAGTACTGATTAAAAAATGTTAGTTAGGTACATTGGTTGTTATATTTATTAAAACAGGTTGCAACCGTTTATTTATTTATACCACTATTCTACCGGTAGTAGACATAATCTATTATTAACATTCGATTACGGCGTAACAATTAAAATATTTATGTGTACTTATTTTGACACTAAATTTCATAAATAATGAGTAATATATCAAAATGGTATATAATAATAAATAATAAAATGTAATACTAAATTAATAATATAACATTAAAATGACACAACATTTTTAACAGTGGTAGAGCCACGCGGCAGCTTTTGCTGTCGCACGGATGGGCCGGCTCGAACTGGGGTGGTACCACGACCTCACAGTACCAGCGTGAAGTAGAGGTTTACCTCTGCGTTTCGCTTGGTGAGTGCAGGTGGCCGGAGGCCCTTTTTACTGGAAATGAGGCATTCCATCTTAGTCCTCACGGGTGACAACGCATTTGCATTTTTATTTGGAATAGAGGATAGATGTAGATGTCTATGGGCCGCAGATACCACTTACCATCAGGTGGACTGTGTGCTCGTTTGTCACCCTTATCATATAAAAAAAAAAACACCAAAAAATTAGTATTATAGTGCGAGCGAGTGAATAGATATGAAAGTATCGGTCGCGTAGCTCGCCTCTCGCTCGGTGCGTAAAATACCTAAATTTGCGAAACGCCGAAATGTAAGAGGGCTCTTAATAGGATGTATAGATTATTTTCGCATTTTAAAATACACATTTTCTAAAAAAAACTAATCGTCCGACGAGTACGACATTTTGTTTGTTCTGCTTCAATCGGCTTGCTTTATGTAACTGTTACTAGAATAGACCAGCGCCGATAAGCGCTGGTAGAAGATCGGCGCCGGCTACCAGCGTGCTTTCTGTATACGGCCTAAGATATGAATGAGTTCTTCTGAGGTATTGTGGGTAGTGGTAGATAGATAATTTGTTGACTGTTTATGAAAATTGGTTATGTGAATATTATAGATATGTTTAAATTGACATATTTGTAGTTAAGGACTATTCCCTCTTAAGAGCTATTGCTCCTATTGATTCATTAATAAATTCTATATTTATGAACCATAATGACTCATTCACAATTTAATGTTTGTATTGTGCCTAAAAAGAAATTTACAAAATCTAGACCTGATAGGGCATTGTGATTGATTTATTCATAAATTTTATATTTATGCGACAGTCAAAACTTATAATCGGTCAAAACCACTTGACTGCAAAAATCAGGCAAAAATGGTTTTGACCGATGACTGATTTTTGGAGTCAAAAGTGGTTTTATCCAACATTCTTTGTCAAAAGTGGCGTTGTCTCATCAGTAAAAGTAGGTTAAGGTGTGGCGGGGCTGGCCCTTGGGACACCTTAAAGCCGCGTACATTATAATGATATTATAAAATATAATGTTGAAGACATTGAATTTTTTAATTTCTTAGTTCAAAATGTATAAGTCAAATGAATTTTTGACTAACATTGTTAATCAAAACCACTTTTAACTGATGTAATTTGGTCAAAATCATTATTATCCAGTATTTTTGTAGCTAAAAGTGGATTTGAACAACGGTCTTAGTCAAAACTACTTTTGCCTGATTTTTTACAGTCTAAAGTGGTTTTGACTGGTTATGAGTTTTGACACTAACATTGAAAAATTGGAATCAATTTGGAGTGCAACAACTCATAGTGTAATCTATCTGAAGGGGAAACCAGTTCAATAATTAATATATTATATAGTTGGTGCCTAAAACTGTCAGTATGAAAATGATGTAGTTTGGGTTGTCAGTTAGTAAAAGCGATTGGTATCGTGGCAGGTACGAGCACGAGACAGAGCTGCTGCGCGAGCAGCTGCGGCAGCGCGAGCAGGACCGCGAGCGGCAGAAGCGCAGCTGGGAGATGGCGGAGCGCGCGGCCGAGGAGCGGCGCGAGGCCGAGCGCGCGCAGCTGCTGCGCCAGGAGGAGGAGCTCTCGCAGCGCATGCGCCTGCAGGACGACGAGCTGCGCCGCCGCCAGCAGGAGAACACGCTCTTTGTGCAGGTACGCCCAGCCGGCGCACCACTCATGTACCACTCCAACACCACACCAACACTACTCCAACACACCAACACAAAACACCTTGCTTATACAAATACCAATAGAAATACAAACTTTTTATCCGATATACATAGAATATAGCTAATAATACTTATTGAAAGTCATTTGTATGTTTCTTTTACCACTGGTTCGGAAAATCCTGAGAAGAAACAGCAAGAAACGCAGTAGTTCATTTATAATTTAAAATTAAAAATTTTGTACAGCCGACTTCAATATAAGTTATTTAAAAATAACTTAAAAACTATTGGTCTGACCTTGATCAAATTCATATGGGACCACACGAGAAGTACCAGCTTTCAAATAAAAAAAGAATCATCGAAATCGGTTCACCCAGAATAAAGTTCTGAGGTAACACACATAAAAAAAAAACGAAAAAAAAAACATACAGTCGAATTGAGTACCGGCTCCTTTTTGGAAGTCGGCAGAAAAATAAAACAGTACAATCATATATATGTTACACAATTAACTTGTTAGTCATACAATCATACCAATCACCTCATACCCATGAGTTATAATAACAATTTTTATACAATTAAAGTTTTAAAAATTATGATAGGACTAATTTTGTATATTTTCTGGGATTTTGTTGTAAAAGCGTATAGTATACATATCTAGCCCCAAGAAAGAATTACGAGTACTGACTCTGTGGAGTCAAATAACTGTTACTGCTAGCTTGAATCGTTCCTAGTATTTACAGAGTGAATATCACGTACTTCTTTAAATATACTTATATTTTTGTGTGCCTACATACATTACTTTTTCGTAAATACATTGAGAGGCAAAAGTAATTATATATTATATTGGAACGAAGTTCCTTATCCGGACGGTACAAATAGGGGCTAGGCGAGAAAAAGTGTAAGATTTTTCCGTCACGAACCTTTCTGACGTAGTGTAGACGGCCTTAGCGGCTATAAGGAAGCGTAATGGTGGAGGTGGAATAATATCCATCTCCCACGCACTTTTTCTTATCTTGCCATAAAAGAAATATTATTTTATTTTAAATAACGCTTCATTTTAATAGACGCTAGTAATTCATTTATTTGTATTTGTTAATAATATGATACGTTTATCAATAATAATATACTTCGTTCCAACCGAATGTTCCACGACACTCACGCATGTTTTTATTTCTGAAATTGTTGATTTTTCAATTCGACGTGAATTTTTAACTTTAACCTGAGTATTAACAAAAATACTTGATAATAAACATTTATTCATTACCACCAATAAAGTTACAATGAGTAGTACACACACAAATAACCAAAATCACATAGTGTAGTTAAAATTATATGTTGGTTCTCTTTATTTAACCATCTCGTTACAGATGTGAAACTGACAAATATTTACGACTTTTATTATTGCTTTTTTTTAGTTGTCTTTTGTTGAATTTAATCTATACAAATAAATAAAATTGAAGTGTCCGTTTGTAACGTCAAAATAACAGCTTTTTACTAAATGCATATGAAACACTGACCTCTATGGACTGGCTATCACCGTGACATAATAAGGCGCCATTTTGGCGCTGACAGCAGAAGTGAACGTCCATGGAATTAATAATAGAGATAAGACAGTGTAACAAAATATATCGATATGAATTCTATACCCAGGCCTACCCGTAACATCCATTCTATTTATGTATCATATTAATACAATGCCATACAATAAATAAATGTATCAATTAATACCTAGGCCTTAGACGCAAGCTTTATACTTCATATAAAACAAGAATCGGCGCTGCATTGATCTAACATTTTTATTCGTAACTACAGAACGGATTTTGTTCCGGGTTTGAAATGAGAAAATGCCTACGCATACCTGCACTCGACAATCCCACTCAGAGTAGCCATCTTGGGCCAGCCCTTCATTTCGGGGTATGGTAAACTTCATTTCCAATGGTAAACGTTGGGCAGCTCACATGGCTGGCCCATGTGAGCTGCCCAACGTTTACCATTGGTTACCAAGCCACGGCTACTATTAACCCCCCCCCCCTCTCCCCACCACTACAAGGCGGGAATCCATTCAAGAGGAGTTATTTCGCACCTAAACTCACGCAAAGTCACTAAGGACATTAATAATTTTGCAGTTCGAATATAAATTTATTCCCTTGATACAATAAATTGGTCATAATAATTATAAAGATTTAACAAACTTACGTCTTGTAAATACAAAGTCATCATCATCAGGCTACCTTTCTATGGCTATGGCCCTTGAATCTGGGGGAAAATAAGGACAGAAGAAATAAAAACATTCGAAATAATACTCTAATACTTTTATACTTGTCTTATGTACTACCAGAAAATATTGTTTGTATACTGCACTTTTTCAAAGTGGTGCGTTTCTCATGTCTAATAAAACAGTCGTCTGTGAAGTGTCGTGTGCTTAGAATAAAGATAATCATTTTGTTTCGGACGCTAATTCACAAGTTTTGTGATATTTAGCCATAATTTTAGTCTAGGTTCTAGTTCTATGTAGGTTGGTTGTGAACAGATATAGGTAGAAAAGAACATCGATAAGTATTATAGACAAGGAACTTAACAACCCTATTGAATTTATTGTTTATCAAAACTCAATAATATAAAGACAAACATGTTGGTAATTACGATAATAAGATCACAAACAAATTTTTTAAGTACCTATATTATCAAATAATTTTAATTTGATTTTTTTATGGGATAATAGGGTGACAAACGAGCACACAGCCCACCTGTAAAACAGTTCAGTTCAAAAATAACATGCCTGGCTGGGAATGGGGTAAAAACGACAACAATATTAGTAGGAAAAGAGCAAAAATAAATAAAGAGATGATTAAAAAATTTTTTGACCATTTAAAAAAAGAATTGGGTGATGTACCACCGGAAAATCTGTACAATTTTGATGAGACCGGCTTTCACGACAACCCAAAGAAAGCAAAGCTTTTATTCAGACGCTCTTGCAAAAATCCGGAAATCATAAAAAACTCCACAAAATCATGTTTTACTGTCATGTTCTGTGGGAATGCGAAAGGAAAGTTTTTACCACCATTTATTGTATATAAAGCCAAGCAAAAATGGAGTGACTGGCTCATTGGGGCACCAGCTGGAACGAGAATGAGTGTAACAAAAAGTGGCTGGATAGATGCTGACACATTTGATGAATGGTTTGTGTCTCAGGTTTTACCAGGTCTTAAAGCCAAACCAGGAAAAAAGGCTATAATAGGGGACAATCTAAGCTCCCACATTTCAATTAAAACCTTAGCCCAATGCGAGGAGAATGATATTAAGTTTATATGTTTGATACCGAACTCCACACATTTATTAAAGCCCCTTGATGTTGCACATTTTAGTTCTTTAAAAACTAATTGGCATTCTGTTTTGAATGATTGGAGAAACACTAGACGTGGAAAGATTGCAACAGTTCTCCCAAAAAACCTCTTTGCTTCGTTGTTACACAGGACTCTGGATTTGGGAAAAGACACTGCGGGACAAAACACAATTGCAGGATTTAAAGAAACAGGATTGTCTTATTGTGATGTCAACATACCGCTAAAAAAACTTCCCGATTATGGCAAGCCAATAGAAGAACTACGAGAAAGCGTCGGAGAAAGTTTCAAGAGATACATTGATGACATAAGAAACATTGACTTAGGGGTGAAGCAAATAAAAAAGTTCCAGATTCCAGTTGTAGCCGGGAAAAGTGTATCCGTGGAAGAAGTCCAGAAGTTCATTGACCAGAGAGAAGAATCTAAAAATAATCCAAAAAAAGCGACCAAGAAAAGAGGAAGACCTGCGGTTACCAAAACGACAAACTTGAATGATAAAGCAAAAAAGAAGAAAACAAGCCATAGTACGTGTCATATACAGTCTGAAAATGTACAGGAGACACCAGAAAATATAATGCTTCAAATGTCTGCTCTTATACAAAACAGGAAAATCGCTATAATCTTGTAGAAAAGGCACAAGAAGAAAGCGCCCAGGAAGAAGATTATATTATAGAGAGATTTGAAGTTAATGCTGATGGTGAACTGGAGCCTCAAGTGGTTAGTAATGCATTAAAAGCTGTGGATCGTAATTGTATTGTGAACTATGAAGGAACCCTATTTCCAGGACGAATATCAAAGTCAACTCATCCGAAATATAGTTTCTTTATATTTCGGAATTTTAAATATGTTTTAGTGAATGACAAAGATATAATTAGGGTGCTGAATGACAACCAAATTAAAAGAAATAAAGGATATTACTCAATAGAAGATGACTTCCTAGCTATGGAATGGGGTGATTAATTATTAAGATTTTGATCTCACTTTTCGTAGGATGAAGCAAAGTTTTCTCTATATTGATACGAAAAAAAGTTTTTGGTGGTTTTTAGTGTCTAAAAGTAATTGTATGAAACATAAGTTCCTAATTGTTGACTAAATAGATATTAATAAATAGAAATGTTGATTTTTCTATGGCAACATTTTATTTTTCCTATATTTAATTTAAAAAACAAATTGTCTTACAAAACTTTGTCTATGGCTGGCGGCAGTATATTTATTAACACCAATTCGTAGGCCAATGTTAACCAAACGTTATAAATGCCATATAATAAGCGAAAACAGTCAATAGTTGAGACCTGGGCCAATCCAAGCCCAACTCATAGACTAACTTTGGCCCATAGGAATTTAAAGCTTTTCACCAAGTTTTTCTTAAAAACTGATAATAAGTGCTAATATTTTTGAAATAAAGACCATCTAAAGCCAACAAAACGTTTATATCCCTAAGCCTAAAGGACTATCCTAAACAATTTACTAATACTTTTATCCGAAAAGTAGGCCAGATACCCAGATTGACTGTAGCTGCTGCATGGCTCTACCACGTACAAAATTAGAATTAAATGATAAATTTGTAATTATAATAGTGCCGAAAATAAAAGAATTGTATAATAATTACTTTACTAAATAGCAATGCAGCAGACAAATTTTTGGCGCACACAAAACAAACCGTAAAGTACTCTCAACCAAAATGACATACTGACGTATAAACAATGACAGATGTCAGTTGTTTCGCGGGTTTTGCGCGTTTACAAAGATATTTTTAATATGTTATTTACAAAGCTTGTTTCAAATAAATAACATCGAAACCAAATCAAAATAAAAATGCGCAATTTCAATTTCGGCCCAATGTTATATTGAAGGCTTAAGTTACCCAAATTGACTGTATATTAATAGTATAGTTGTAGCAAGAATGGTTCGGCTCGCCGGGGAAGGACTACGCTATCACAGAATACCAGCGTCAAATAGCAGCTTAACACTGCTTTGTTTCGTATGTACACTCACTGTAGAGAACCGGAGACCCTTTTTACTGGAAAAGAGGCATTCCATCTCAGTCCTCACGGGTGAGAATGAATCTGCATTTTGATTCGCAAACGAGGATAAATGTAGATGTCTATGGGCCACAGCAACCACTTACCATCAGGTGGACTGTGTGCTCGTTTGTCACCCTATCCTATAAAAAAAATCGAAACCGAGAGAGAAATCCAAACCGAGTACTCTTCCCATGTCTAATATAAACAGATATTTAAATTAGTTTTTCTTTTTGTCCATAGGCCCAAAGACTCAATTCCATGCTGGACCGGCAAGAGCAGGGCATGTTTGATCAACAGCAGCCAATGGTAAGTACTTTAGTGCATTTTGAGAAGGCAGTGTAAAAATTCATTGCCTATACTTATAAATATTTTCTGTCTTGTGTTAGCATTGGATGAAATTTTAAATCTATCTTATTAACTCCACGGAACTGAGCAAACATTGAAAATTAATTAAAAAAAAAACATTTAAATATTTTTATTTCTCATATACATATTTAAATATTATTATTTTGACATATTCTTCTTGAGGAATTGAGTCTATAAGTTAATATCAGAACTACCTCTATCTAAATGATATTTTAATCACTAACTACTTTATTTTTTTACCTAAGTATAAAGTATTACAATTGAATAATAAGAAAAATATCCAATGGATTTGGCAGAATATGGATAGAAAAATAGGATTCAATTTTTGACGACAAATTTTTGTATAAAAAATTGTTATGGTTTGTACTTTTACTAAGCAGAATAAATTTGTGACTGCACTTACGGCTTAATGTACAGTACGATAGTAATAAGGAACATCGTAAAATTGTTCCAATAATTAAATATGTTAATACTAATCTATACTATAGTCAAAGTCAAAATATTTTTATCCAAAATTGGTCATATATTGGCCTACGCCATCGAATTAACATGTTCCTACTGCAGGATATTGATAAGAAGCAGCAAGATACAGTACAAGTAGTATAATTTTTTGCAACAGTTACAATAACCTTATAAAATATATAATATCCACAAGAAGAAAGTTTAAGAAAGCTATCCACATATTTTTATCTTTTAAATGATCATCTTCTAATCTATAATATTCTTTCTTCATAAGAATGCCTTTTTACACGCGACTTGAATTTATACAAAAGATAATTGGTAATATTACAGGGAATCTGGTTATATATTTATACTTACCAAAAATAGCCACTAGCTTTGTGAAGCCTGTATTTCAGAAAAGCAAGTTTATTGTGTCTAAATATTATGGTTTCAAAGTCATTAAAATAATTATATTATCCAAAGAGATCTCAGAGTGATTCTATCGGTCTAATATTGTATATGGCACAAATAACCACTTTTCTGTAGTTTATTTTCATTATTGGCTGCCTGAACTATGAAAAAACTTGAAATAAATTAATCTGGCTGTATCTAATACAGTTAACATCTTTATTTTGGTATTGCTTTAGTATCCTGCGGCACAAATAGGGAGATTGAGGGGAGAATGGATGACACTCCCCCTGCGGTAACTTAGTTTTTTTATATGCGTATTTATACAAAATTTCTATATATATATATATATATATATATATATATATATATATATAGAATAAGGGTGTCACCCTTATTCCATAAAAATATATATACAGCGAACATACAGCCCACCTGATGGTAAGTGGATGCTGTGGCCCATTGACATCTATATCTATTCTTCGATTAAGAATCAAAATGCAGATGCGTTGTTCACCCCTGAGCACTAAGATGGAATGCCTTATACCCATTTTTATACGTGGTAGAGACATGCTGCAGCTATATTAGTGCTATAATTGTAGCACGAATGGGTTGGCTCGACCGGGGAATGACCACTCTCTCACAGAATACCAGCGTAAAATAGCAGCTTAACGCTGCTGTGTTTCATAGGGTGAGTATAGAAAACCTGAGACCCTTTTTACTAGAAAAGAGGCATTCCATCTTAGTCCTCACGGGTGACAACGCATCTGCATTTTGATTCTTTATTGAGGATAGATGTAGATGTCTATGAATCACAGCAACCACTTACCACCAGGTGGACTGTGTGCTCATTCGTCACCCTATCCTATAAAAAAAAAACAGTAAAAAGGGTCTCTGGTTTTCTACACTCATCATACGAAACACAGCAGCATTAAGCTGCTATTTTACACTGGTATTCTGTGAGAGCATGGTCCTTCCCCGGTCGAGACGACCCATTCGTACTATAACCATAATATAGCTGCAACATAGCTCTACCATGAGTATAAAATCATATCATATTAGTTTTCAGAGTTAAACTTTAGACACGAAATAAGTCGCCTTGAAAGGAAATTGAGTTATAGGGGGAGTTTGACCCGTCCTACTAATTCTCCCCGTCGAAAATACGTGGGTTTAGAGGAGGAGATGCGGTACGTCGTAGTTTTAAGAAAAATAATAAAAAATAATATAGTTTACTCTGGCAAGCATTTTAGGTGTCCTGAAAGGGCAAGAAAAGGTCAGGTAGTGAAGGGTAATCTTCTCCTGGTTCCATAGGAAATGTCGCGGCTTTCTACTTGACTGGTGCTTTCGTATTTTTTATTTATCGTTCCAATTTGCTGTTGTATTAGTGGTAATAAATAATATGTTCTTCGTTTATCATTCAATTAACCTTAAAAATAATTTCGTTAACTACATTCCGTGAAAGATAGCTGCTAGGACATAAATAGTGCATCATAGCATTATTGTTATGGATGACATGGATTATGATCAAAATCACAAACAAAATCGTGCCACAGTATACTAAAGTCAACAACCTTTATTTTTTAACTGTATACACAGCGAAACGATGCTATTCAACTAAGTCTCCTTGACAATTCTTCAATATGGAGTCTGTCTGTAGACGAAAGACATAAGGAGAACTGTTAATTCATCTACTAATTCAAGTATTTGATCATTTACTTGATAATCTGCACAAGACTGTCTTTATACCACTAAGTATGATTTGCTTTCAACTGTGACTATTATAAATTATTTCCCTTATTATTTCCTAATTTAATTAGCTTTAGGCTCCTCGATAATTTATTTTATGAAAATGAGCATGAAGTGCATTACCTAAGCGTTGAATTAGGTTGAGTTCCATATTAGGATAAAGCTGCTGAAAAAGTTCTAGTATGAAATGAAAACAGATTGAATGAATAGTAAATAAAACATTTCAGCCTTTTAGATAAAGGATTTTAGAGTTATGTCAATTATAATATACTGCTGAACAAACCAAAACAAGTTAAGTATATGTCACCATGTCAGGTTTGATATGCGGTGATCACTTTTGCGATTTCTATCAACAATTGAAACTATACTTAAGCCCTATAACTTTTTATAAAATGCAAATGTGAGTGCTTTTCCATGCATATATCTATGTCAAAACAATTCTGCCACAATTCACTAATCATTGACACCAACAAGTGCATTACCTAAGCTACTAATGTTGTTAAATTTGTTTATTTACTAGATTTTCTAAGATATCTGGATCTACGGGATCTGTTATGACTATATGATTTGGGGAAATTACAATTAGATCTTTAGGGATAACCTGTACGAAAGCTATGTTAACTGCATCTTGAAATGTCTATATATGAATAAACCATAATAAATAAATAATAAATGATAAACCATCTATAAGTTTTATGTACTGACCTGTTATTTATTATGGACTAAACAATTTATATGATGACTACTTAAGCATCGATGTGAATATGTTGTACACATAACAATTTCTGATATGATCTCAATTACCCTATTGTGTCTTATGACAATGTCACACCAAAATTGATCAAAACAAACCTTAATTGCCAATATATATGATAATTGAAAATTTTTGCGGTTGCATAATTTCATTTATTTGAAATAACAGCGTGAATGGAACAATTATAATTCAGGTTTGTAGAAAGATTCTAAGCATTACAATTTGCCAAAAAGAATAATTTAATTATTAGGAATGTAACACAATTTTTGTTTTGAAAATTTATGACGTAACATAACTTATAACCAAAGGGCTATTTGAGACAGTTTGCAAAAGCTGTAGGAATTTTATTTTTATACGTTACACATTTATTTTTGTTATCAAATGATCTGCTGGAACGGTTTTGACAGCCAAAGGAAAATGAAAATTGCTTATGCATGCTAAAGTTGAAATACAGTTGCACATATCGAGTGCTCTTCGCCCATAAGAGTAACGTTGTTAATAATTAGTACTTTTTTTTTTAATTTTGGGGAAATTACAATTTTACTGATTTTTTTTCTGTATGATCAGTGATATCTCGGAAACGGCTGTCTCGTTTCACAAGATACAGTTACCTAAATATCGCTTATCGATTCAAAATATAACATTAATATAATATTATAAAGGAATTTATTTATTTAGGCTAGAATACAGTTTTTGAAAATTTAGTATTATAAAATAAAACTGAACCTTACGGAATTATATACTCTAAAATAGATTCCTAGACTAAAACATAATTTCTATCGAACTTGAACAATATTCTGTGATTTTGTAATATTTATTAAATACCGCTATTATAATTTTGCCTTTAATATGACCAAGTACTTGATTGTAATGTTATGAGAATATATATTAAAAATAATTATATTACAATAAAGTGTTATACTTATATTACAAAAATTTATTAGAAAATATCTTTGTTATACTCTGTCTTATATTGACACGAGTTGAACTAAATTAATGCTGTGTGTTATCGCTTTTATTTTTATTTATTTTAAATTTACAATGTTTCGATGATTTTCTGCTACTCGGTTACGGAGGGACTTTGGTGTTTAATATCCTGCCTTAATTACCTATTTATTTGTACCCTTTTTATCCTAATGTATCTAAAAGCTACAATTAAGGCGTTATCGGTTTATTTACCGTTTGTTAATAAAACTTTTTAGGTATAATGTATTAAATAGGCTGCTTCTATACGGCCTTGGCTCTGCAAAGATACCTAGTTATTTTGTATGCCGCGTTCTTTTTCTTATCGGCGACGGTGAAAATCCCTGCGAACAAGCCACGCTTCTGGTTCTCGCCGTATCGACAATCCTGCATAAATATTTCTTAGGTCGGCCACATACATACGTAATTCCGTTTCGGAATCCCGAATCGGGATTCCGTGAATACATCACACACATACGTTTTTTTTCCGTTCGGAATAGCAAGGGTCAGTTGGGAGACGTTAGCCATTGAGTCTAGACATTCTGTCAGCGGATAATGACGACGATTTTCTAGTTGCGATTCCATTGTTGCTGTATCATTCTTACTAGGCGCATTCCCATTATCACCCTAAGCTTTCAATATTGTGTAAAAAGATCTATCTATCCAGATATTTTTTAAATATTTATGTATCGTAACGGAATTCCGTTTTGATGTTCCGATTCGGAATCCCGAACGCAGCAAGTCCATATAAAATCTATGACCCGCCACACACGTTTGGTATTTTTCTGTACGGAATTTTGTCCGATTCGAGATTCCGTATGACCGCTTGTGCGTTCGGGATCCCGAACGGAAAAAAGCCGCTCTGAACGCAAGTCTTCCATAGATTTTGTACGAGTCGCAACACACATACGTAAATTCCGTACGGAACGCGCTCAGTGTTCGTCGCACGACCGAAGCGGGTAGGTGTGTTTATGTATATTTTTACATTTAATCTTATATGTGTATATCTTTACGTAACCTTTCATCTTATTTAATTTAATAATTCGTCGAAAGAGTTTACAGACATCCATATTTAAAAAAAATAGCTCTGGATAGATAGAACTTTTTACATAATATTGACTATAATATTGCTAGCTCAGGGTGATAATGGGATGCACCTAGTAAGAATGATACAGCAACAATGGAATCGCAATTAGAAAATCGTCGTCATTATTCGCTGGCAGAATGTCTAGACTCAATGGCTAACGTCTCTCAAATGACCCTTGCTATTCCGTATTCCTTGGAATTCCGTATGTATGTGGCCGGCCTAATTAGGCATTTATGTATTTTGTAGTGTCTTTTTAAATAAAAATTACATTTACTACTAATGTACAATAAAAATACATGGGGGGGGGGGGCTCTTCCATTGTATTGACAAAATTGTCAAGCTTTGCAAGTGGATGACGATCGTACCACACGTTCCGCAACTTACGCCTGTCGCGCGTCACTCCGCGCCGATCTATTAGTATTTTTCGTCTGACTCGTTACATCGCCATCATTGGAAGATATTGTTATATTTATATACATATTTACTATTTTATGAATTTATGGAAACAACAAGCTTGGTAGGGTATCCGGGCATCTTATTTTAAATACATTTGTATTGACAGTAAAGCCGTAAAAAAAAAAATGCTTCGTTAGGAACACTGCTTATTGTCTTTGATTGTATAGAAATTATAAGTTTTTAAAGTTTATTTTTAATATTCTCATGGGTTGGGTTAATCTTAAACACAACGTAATTAATTTTTATTACTCACGAAAAATACGGGTGCGCCTAGGCGCCACAATTGAAAACGCTCAAGATCATAAACATATTATAGATTTTTTTATGAATAAGACTTAATTTATTAGGAGAAATATCCTTAATTATGTCAAATAATATTTTCATTAAGTTTAAATTGCATGTACATTAGTACATTTGATCGTGTTGTAAAGATGATTTATTAACATTAAACTTTATCAAATAAACAACATCTAGAATGCAAATGATTTTAGGAAGTACCTTATCGTGTGTTCTATTTCTATGTATTTTATGTTGTGATATATTATAGTGTGCTGAAAAAGCATACTTGGAAACCCGAGTCCAACGTGAAGGCATTTAAATGGTATAAAATATAGTCACATCTACCAATCGGTATCAGTGTACCAACGTGTCTGTCTGCCTTGCCGAAAAATATTTAACCATAAATTTCATCATCGCGACGGTGAAAGATTTTTATGATTAGTACCAAGTGACTTATCAGTTCACCTAATGGTAACACTGGAGTTTGTAAACTGACACCCGCTGCCAGCTTCAAATAAAGAAGGCATCAGTTTTGTTTATAGAATAAGGACGGCAAACGTGAACGCAGTCTACTCGATTGCAAGTAGATGCTGCGGGTCCATAGACATCTACATCTGTCTTCGATTAAGAATCAAAATTCAGAATGCGTTATTACACCTCAGGACTAAGATGGAATGCCTCGTTTCCAGTATATAGAGTCTCCGGTTCTCTACACTTCCCATACAAAACAGAATCAATGCTGATATTTCACGTAGGTATTCTGTAAGAGCGTGCTCCTTACCCGGTCAAGCTGATCGATAAGATAATATAGCTACAGCGTATTTGACACCCTTGAGAACTAAGAGATATTTTATGTACCTGTCTGTTAGTGATAGGTCGTTTTTAACATCTATGTAACGAGACTGCGTATCGGCTACGATAAATTAGTTTATAAAATTAAATTCCGACAAATTTATACGGTCGACTGACCAGACAAGACACATACAGTATTTACACTATTTTTGTAAGTTACATTATGAGCGTCAATTAATCGTCGGTTTGCATAAGCCATTTCGATCAGAGCCAAAAAACGTAAACAAACAAAATTTAAAATCTATAAAATATGTAAATAGAAACGCATATCTATTCCATTTGAATACAGTATATTTTGATTTGAAGTGGCTACTCAATGAGACGAACGTTATCGTCGGAGTACGTGCACGAAATAGCGTAATTAGAAAAACAAGCGTGAAGTGAAAAGAGCGCCCCATCGTCGGGTAGCTAGCGATATACTTTTGGCAGTGTTCATGAATATAGTAGTTTATCAGTAGAATTTAAACTGGTCTAACTCCGTGCACGACCGAGGATTATCTGCAAACATGTTAGACTACCAACCAAAAACCCTAGGGATTAGACACAAAAATATATTTAAAAAAATTGTTCTTTACTTTCAAAGCTTACATTCTTCATTTTGATTACTTACAAGGCTGACGACTTCAGTGAGTTTTTAAATGTCTCAAATAGCCCTATGTTACGCGAATTTGTGTTAAAACCTAGGAATTAAGTGTTATTTATAAAAAGGAAATATTGGCTATTTTTATAATTGCCCACTTTAGGATGGAGGCTTCAGGGACCAGTACGACATGCCACGTGGAGGTTTTGACGACATGCCGCAGAACCGCGGGTGGGACGGACCACGCGCCATGGACGACTATCCTAATAAACGTCGTCGCTTTTAATTCATCTCTTTTCATGTGACAGCCTGACACAGGCTATTCACACCGCTGACTACCCTCTCAGTAATAACTCCTATGACTAGCCATTGGTTATTAGGCACAAATATATTATTTAAAAAAAGAAACTATTAAACCTACTTCTCATTTATTATATAAACTTACAGAGTCGCACTAACTTGACATAAGTATGTATTTGCGATAACCAATGGTTATTATTGATTGCCGTAGCGTGAAAACGCTTAAAACTGTAGTGAAATAGATTTAAAAATTTGAGTTTATTTATTTTAAAATTTGATGCTCTCAAGGTAGCATAACACCTAGGGTTTTAAGCGGTTTCGCAAAATTTATGTACACTTCATTTACTTACCGGTACAAAATTTATAAATTCACACTTAGCTATTAATGGTACTACATTATATCACTGTAGGATTAAATAAATTTCGTTCGTAGTTTGAAACAGTTTATTAAAATAACATATTTCTGGTATACTGAGTATATAAAAAAAATGTTTGTGTATAAAGACGGTGTTTAGTTAAAATCATTCTTAAAATAGCTTTTTTTAAATATGACATGAAATTAGGGTTTTTCATGGACCATCATCCATCATTATAACAAAAATGTCACTTATAGTGTAAGAAGTAAATTTAAAATTACCAATTATGTACTTCTACATCTGAAGAATTTAACATTAAGATATTGCTTCTACGCCATATTTATTCTCCTAATTGCGTAATGTATAATTTTTGTTCGTTTTAATTGTAATTTACAGATATCTGACTGTTTGGGAAATTAGATTTAGATTCAATAATTTGCGAAATAAATTTTTTATCTCCAATTTATTAAGAAATATTGTAAGATCTGTTTATTTTAATTTTTTCACAGTCTTAATGGAGTGAGTGATAAGCTTATATTACCAAATAAGAAAGTGGTACTTGAAGAACATAAATACATATAACTTTAAATTTTAAAAACAAATTTGTTTTAACTTACTATATATTTAATGTATAAACTATAAGATTTTTGATTGGTGAATATAAAGATTGGTACACTGCGTATAATCTCATAAATTCATCATCATCATCATTTTGCAACAGTCTTGACTTTTAGACCGGGGCCCCTTCCAGAGTTACAAGGATTGGCCATAATTACTACGCTTGGTTAGGCATAAAAAGAATATAAATTCCTTGCTAACTTTTAATAGTACATAATCCTTAAATAAGTAGTGATGCATTGCGGATTATTTCATGACTTCCGATTGCCTCAAACTCTTTTGGTAATTTAGGTTAATTAATAGTAAGATATTATTAATATATTCATATTAAGATTTTTGATTACCGGCCGTGTAAGCATCGTTGTAGGTGACTTTAATAAATATTTTATTAGAAAGATATTTAAATGAATTTTAAATTTTGCAACATGCAATAATTTCAGATGTATATTTTCGCTTATTATTATAATCATCTTTGAAGTTATTTTTTAAAACCGTAGCAAAAAAACTTTTTTTTTTGTAAATGTTTTATATCATCAAGGTGTTTTCAGGTTCTCTCTTTAAAAATAAATAAATTGTTCTTTACGTATTGATTTTATTGCTAATAACTAAATAAATTTGATAGGTTTGTTAGGAAATATTTCAGAAGTAAGTTAAAGTAATGTGACAAATAATCCCGTACTGATAAATTGACATTAACGTGTGATTTAGATTTTTGAACTGAGGAATCAGAATTATATTGTAAAATAAAAAGATACAAGGATCCTTTTTAAAGTCCGGGAGGCATTTGTTGCGTCACTTTTATGCCTATGTAAAACAAACAAGCTTTTGCACAGAAAATTATCAAAAAGTGAAAGTTCTGTCAGTCTGGTCAGAGTTCTGTACTGTGAGTGTTTCTTTGTTTGCAAGATATAAGTGTGCAAGTGAAATTTAGAAACTAAATAATAATTTATAGTAAATTAGGCGTGATAACTGTAATTTCTTTAAATAAATGAATACATTTTCATAAATAAATAATTTAGTTTTAAGTTTAATTGATTGCAATTTATTTCACCACCAAGCCTATTAATCACATTTAAAGAACATTGTTTTGATGTCATTGTTCGCTTAAGAACTAATTGCCCGAGAAAATCAATTCCTCTATTCTAAATGATGGTTACACTAATTGACATTAAATACGAGTGACGGACAAACAATTGTTTAAAACGTTTATTTCGGTTTATTTGATCAATAACATGGCCAGGCCTTAGTTGCCTACTACCTGCTAGTCAATCGCAAGTAAAGACAGTATTAAAACAGTTTTTAAAAGATGAAATAATCTATCTAGAAATACGTAAAATTATAAATTGATATAAATTTAATATTAATGTAAGTATTAGTAATCAATATTTAAAATAGTAATTATTAGAAACAGGATTCACATTTTCTGACTGTGTGACTTCTTCACAAGTCGTACTACTCCGTTAATTTTTTTACGAGATTCTGAAATGTGTGATTGTAATAATTTATTTGGAAAGCAATACATATTTTTGAGCAATGTACTTTGTTAATTTTAAGCAAAATGAAATAATTTTTATTATTGAATGGTTGAAATTAAGGATTAAATTAAATTACTCACTAAGCAGACCATTTGACATCTGAAAATTATCGGCCCGTGTTCTGGATCGGGTCACATACGAGAAATTTGATTGATTTCGGATCTGGACGTTGTGGGACGGAGAGGGGCTGAGAGGATATTGATTGCGTTTTTGACGCAAGCTCGCACAAAGTCGACGTTTGACTATCGGAGGCCACAAATGAAAAGACTTGCACTTATGAATACGTTCATATCATATACGTAATACACACATACGTTCATATCATATACGTAATACACACATAAATAAACTTCAAAAACAACCCTTCGTTGGTTCTCAGATTCAATGTAATCGTTTTTATTTGTCAATCTTTATAGATATTTTCTTTAGTTCGCTTTTAGTACTACTACCATACCGAGTCCCATTAAAGTATATCTATTCTATTATCATAAGTAACTTTAAAGAACTATGTTGTTACAGCGAATACTTTATAATTGTCAAGCAATTTTTACTTTTTTGTTTACTAATACTAAAAGGAAAGGTACATAATTGTTATTTTTCAACAATGGAGGTGGTTTTTCAGCGCAATCGAGGAATAGATATTGCATAATAGAAGCCTTGTGCGTATTTATAATTGAACTAAACAAATGTTCGAAATTAGGTACCGTTGTGGGGTTTTGTTGTAATAAGTAGTAACCGAGTGCATTGATTGTCATAAGATTTACTAAAGCTTGTGAAATATTAGTGCGTCGTGGTGTGTCGTGGCGCAGCAGAAAGCTATGAAATCTATATTATGGTTTTAATTTTTATGTGCATGGCTTCTTGACTTGTTCGTCATGACATTCATTTAGACATGAAATAATAATAAATATTCATTAATAATATAGATAGATACTCGGCTCCAGTATAAAATTTAGCTTCACAATTATTATTTCAAGTTTTTGACCGTAGACATTTTTTTTCTCGTTATTTGTTGGGGCCTTTGTCTCTAACGCATATGTTACTTTTTAAAGAATGGAGGAAAGGAGTTTTTTTTAATGATAAATAAATAAAAAAAAATAAAATACAAAAAAAATATATATGATATGAATAAAATTTAAATATTTTTTTATTTTATCTTTCCTACATAAATTATATTTTTTGAATATTTTAACATAATAAACTTTTTATGATTTAAGTTTTAACTACCTACATAAATTACTGAAAAGTAAATTGTCACAACTTCCTATAAAATAGCGTGTCACTTTTCTGCTATAAATGCGAAAATAAAAAATGAAATGCGTCTCACGTCTCGTCTGATCCTCGTCCATTAATTTACTAGAGATGTTTTTTTTTAAATGTGAACATCCCCCTTTGTGACATGTAGTAGGACCTCTTTCCCTTTCCTTTTGCCCCTAACGTTAGATTTATTTGCGTTTGTTCCACATCAGGGAATCTCTAACCCTCATTCATTACAGCCCATCAAAAATCCACTGCAGAACACATAAGTCGCCCCTTAAAATAGTCTCATAGGGAGAATGTTTACCACAGTTGTCATACTTGGCACAGGCGGATCGCCAACCGCAGTTATTTATTATCATTGGGTTGTTTTTGGACAATGCTGCCGTCCACCTCTTGTTTCAGTGTCCCTCTGTCGCCTCTGACTTAATTCTCTTACGCCGCCACAACACGCCATTTATCCCGGGCAAAGAAATAAAAAATATTAGGTTATAATTATTAGGATTATTTTATCTAAATGTAAAAAAGTTTTTATACCAATTTATATGACATTTGGCTTAGATTTGGCTAGACCCGCCAATTGTAATAAACATAATTAATGGACGTTAAAGAATGTAGCCAGTGTCTTCTTTTTTTTTTTGAGGACTTCCTAACCCAATCTATTTAATGCAATGTTGAAATTAATATTGCAATTGTGCACGCTACAATTCTCACATCATTAACAAATTGGTATAAGCGCCACAACATACACGACTAATACACACGCACACCACGGCACAATAAGATGAACCCAGCTTTAAAGCAACCAGAGATACATAATTTCTCTAATGCTATTTTAAGTGGTGGTAGTGCAAAAAATTGGATAACTTAAAATCATCTATGGCTTAGAAATTAAAAATATTTGAAGAACGTGTGAAGTGCGCAAATTTCAGCGGAGTGGACTCTTGCCTGCTCAAAAATCCACTCCGGACGAAAAGAGAACTGTTCCCCGCTGATAACGCTATCAGGTTGTATCTTTGAATGAAATCTCTTACACTGACATATATTACTTACCTAGCATCTACTTAAAATGGATTTGATGAAACAAGGGCTGAATGTTTGAAATAATAATCAGAAAACTTACTATTCTTCCAACGTGTATTATTTCTTACTTTATTATTATTAAAATGTTGTCAGTTAATTCGCAAAGGAGCAGCTTAGCGTACACATCCATATACATAACGCCCTAAACAGTAAATGAAGGAGGATATTTACAAATTGGTAGGTCTCCTCTACTGTCAGCTTGGGTGGGTACCAACCACTCTTTATCTAGTTTTGTTGTTCTGGTTTAAAAAACGAGGGCAAAATAAATATATATTCACTCAGTGCAAGGCACTCTCCAAACGACCAGCCAGGGGGGTGAATAAAGGCAAATATTTCTATACCTTGGGCATGAGATTAAAAATATTAACATAAAATAGTGTTCTCAAACATTTCCGACACCTACTTTTGTGAAGACTGTGTGTGTACTTTACTATATCTCTTTGTATTTTGCTATATTATATTGTATAAACATTAATCACAATCTTTTAACATCATTTTACATGTATATGATAAAACAAACTATTTAATAAAATTTAATATATAACGGATAAAACAGACGACAAAATATTTATATTAGCTATAGTTTTATTAAGTCTAATGAACTCTTCATTATCTCTTCATCTCATCTTCTAAGCAATTTTCTTATCAAGTTTAATATTCAATTATGTATAAATAAATTAATTAGCTTATTCAGTGTTTGTAAGCGCGACTGCTGATAATGAGATCCCGAGTCGAGCCAAAAATCAGCTATTGGGTTTTCGGTTAAGAAATTCTCAGTAGCAGCCTCAGGGTCAGGAAGTTGCGGTGTTCCGTTGGCCCTGCGTCTGATCTCTCGCCGAACGTGTCGGGTTGCCGTCACGTCGGACTATGAGAGTGAAAGAATAGTGAGTGCATATGTGCTTATACACGAACTCTTGTGCACTGTAATCTTGTCCTGCGCAGATGGGGCTGGTCTCCGTTGTGACTGGCTGCCATGACCGAAATTCGGCCTTGAGAACATTACTATTATTATTATTTGTATTATAGGATATTATGTAATAATAATGCCCCCGGACCCGATTTCGGTCACGGTAGGCAGTTTTTAACAGACTGTAGGATTATAAGTGCACGAACGTGTGCGTTAGCACAGGTGCACTCTATTGTTTCCCTCTCATAATCCGATGGGACGGAATCCTATGCGACCAGAGAGATTAGTCACAGGACGAACTTGGTTTTATCGAGCTTTCCGAGGCACGGGTGTAAAATACCGCCAACTTTCTGACTCTCTGAGGCTTCTACTGAAAATTTTTGCCAGAAAAACTCAAAAATGATTTTTGGCCAGATTTGGGATTCGAACCCGGGTCCACATAGTCAGCTGTCGCGCTTATCACCACTAGAACAACAAGGCAATAGATATTATATAAGATATATAAACTAGTATTGGAGCAGGAGTGTGGCTGGCTATACTCAGTTACGTTTTCGAAGACGATTGAAGCTATCAAGCAGTCAGTTAAGTCCTATTGGCTATTTTATTAAACTAATAGATATTGTGAGCCTTGGCAATTCAGGGGCTTAGCGCTCGCTGTAAATTTCACAGGACGCGAGCAACCCGGGTTCGATATCCACCGGCACCAATTGCTTACTTGCAATTTTTAGTGCTGATTTACCATGTGTTCGGCGATGAAGGAAAACATCGTCAGTAAACCTGCGTGTCTGAGAAATAAAACAAAATATTTCGAAGACATCGCGCTCGAAGTGAGAGGAGGTCTGTGCTCAGCAGTCGGGACGTATATAGGCTGTAACTTTACTAGATATTTTTATGAATAGTTATTTTCGTTACATATATTATATTACTTATATTTCTTCAGTTTTGTTTTAAACAGGCTGCGGGTTAAGAGTATGTGTATGTAACATAAGTACTGTCAATGCCAATAGATAATATTGTGGAGTATAGTATTTTTTAATGCTTATAAACATTTTAATACCTACACTGTAGTAGTCTTTAAGATATACTTTTCCTTATAATTTATTCTCGTTGTTAATAATTACAACATAATAACAATAACTCATATTATACACACGAGTTAAATTTGAAATGGTTTTGTATGGTTTTAATAGGTGAAATTAAATAAATATAATTATATAGTACACTAGATGGTATGGATGAATCTGTAGTGCTTTGAAAGGCATAATTTATTTTATTAAGGGGATATATTCAGGCTGCAAGATATTTAAAGAATAGATTTTTGAAAATCTACTAATGTCACTTTAAACCCGTACGATAACGACGCTTTTACGGGCAGTTTTAGTAATTTTATGTTCTTACCGTTACAGCCTTTAAAAGTACACCACTAAACATAGGTCTCTCTCATAGATTGCCTCGATAGGTCATAGCTGCCACGTTTGGTAGGCGGGTTGGCAATCGCAGTTTTTTCTTTAATTTTAGTTGTTATTAAAAATATGCTGCTGTCCACCTCGCCTCGTAGTTTGTTTCTTTCTGTCGCCTTTTACGACACCCTCATGACGATAATGTGGTATTGGATATCCTCACACCGCGCCAACATGGTGAAATGAGAGAAAGAATAGAATGTTCTTAGAATAATTAATTTATGAAATAAAAGTACATTTCTTTCTCAATAAAACTCATAAATTACTGGTGAAACAACCTTAGAGAGGTGTAATTTAAAATATACGAAAAAAACTGAATACGCAGGAACAGGGTAGTGGTAGATAATGATTGTAGCGTTAAATCCAGGAAGATAACAGAGGAATACGGATGTATAGGCTTATCGCCACCTTAAAGCAAGAATCAAAAAAAACGTGTTTACTGTAGCAATGCGGGGACTGTAATAGCATGTTCCATCCCGCACGGTACAAGAGTTTATATGGCCGTCAAACATTTGTTCCCGGTCTTGGTGGGAAACAGCAGAAATCCCTTCCGTATTGGATAAACTTTTTTCAGGAATAGAGGAGTGGTATGGGTAGGTGTTAATTTTTCATTAAACTAGAAATAGAGCATCATAAAATGATATCTAAAAATGTCAATAATGTATTTGCACATATGTAATCTGAAACTTAATAAATGAACAGATTTATACATAACACCTAAAAAGGCCACAGATTGTTGATTTAATTTTTTATTGGAAAATCAGAAGTAACACAAACGCCTGTACGCATATTTTGTTCTGACTTGAGTGCGAGTTCCGTTGACATTCTCACCAGAGGCACAAGTATATAAAAACCGAGCAGAATGAAATGTTTATATTACCGCCGTGCGCGAGAACACTACTACACGCACATCTATGTGTGCGTGACTTGTCACCGACAAGGCGCGAGGGTCATACACCGGCGCCCGCTAGGGGTACAAACCGGTTTTAGTCCGTTTAGGGAGCGGACAAAGTTAGGTGTGCCACTGGCAGCGACACGACGACGCGGACGTTTAGTTTTGTTTTTAATGATGCCAAATACTGTGTGCCCAAATAATGGTAGAAAAAACCAAGATTTATTTTTTTATATATCCAGAGGATCTTGTCAGGTAATTAAATACCCATACTTACCAAAACATTTTTAATGCATAAGTAACAGAAGTATTTAGTTAAGAGGCATGTCCAAAAAATAACTAAGATGAAGATAAGGTTTTAACATAATTATTATTTAATATTTTCTAAATATTACTTCTAATTGTTTACCAAATTACCGCCTATAATATTGGCGTAGGTATTATTGTTCGTCTCCTATGTTTCGTACTTATTTTTTTTGTTT